GGTGCTGGCATGATGCTGGCCTGTGGTACCCTTGCTGAAGGCATGGCTCCCAGGCCAGCTGGAGCTGTGCCTGTGGTGGGCTTGATGGGACTGGGGAGCTGAATGCTGCCTGGGGAGATCCAGGGAAAGCCCTGATGGGTGGTCACAGGGAGAGGCAGAGGCTCAGTCCTCTCTCAGAGTTTTATCTCGCCCCCTCCAGGATCAGCCTCCCCATCCAGACCTTCTCGGCCCTCAACTTCCGAGGTGAGTGTGTGCTAGGACCGGGAGGCTGCGCTGACTTGGAAGGGGGTCAGCCTAGGTACCACCCAAGACCAGCCAGGAAGGCACAGGGCCAAGACTGGGTCTGGGGGGAGAGAATGGGGAGTCCAGTGGTGGCAACCATGGGCGGTGGAGGGATCTTATGTGATGTCTCAACTACATACAATAATAGGCAGCATGGAGAGGCAGGGGAGGGCCCTGAGTGAGGTCAAGGGTTCACGTTTGACTGCTACATTCAAGGTTGGTAGTTCAGATCTACCTGCCCCCCCAGAACCTCAGAGGAAAGGCCTGGCAATGTGAATCCATGTAGATGACTGGCCAGGGAAGTCTATGGAGCAGTTCCACTCTGCACCACACGGGGTCGCCAGGAGTCAGAACAGAATTGACTCCCCGGCAACCCACAGCACCAGCCACGCAGTCAGCCAAGGGGCGCCCCGGCACGGAACACTCCTGTGTATTTGGTTTTTGTTTCCATGTCTGGGGGCACTTCAGGCAACAGCCCTTGCTCTGCAGTCCAATCTTCACAAGCACCAGGTGTCCTTGGGGCCTGGTAACTGGAGCATCTAGAATCACTGGGGCTAGGAGCCCCCCCTCCACTGTCTGCTGGCAGGTTGCCAAGCCTCCAACCCCCACCCCACCCCCCACGGCCGGGCTGCTTGTTGAACACCTCCAGTCTGATGGAGCAAGATGTCAGAGACACGTTTTTTTAAAAAATGAAGCCAAACCCTAGCGAAGCCAAACAATTAAAAGAAGGAGCTCTTAGGGCACTCTGCCACTTGTGACATTAGTGCTATGCAGATCGAGTGGCTTCCCAACCCCTGCGCGCAGAGAAACACGCTGTAATGATACATTAGCAAAGGCAAGCTGCGGTCCTTGGCAGCCTCGCCTTTCCTCGATCAACTCTTTTATGTCTTCGATGTTCATTTCCATCAGGGGAAAAAAAAAAAACATTCTGTGCTCTGCCGAGCCTCCCGTTCATCACGGGCTCGGTTCATCACCGGCTCGTTGCCCGCTAAGGAGAACCATAAACATCCAACTCCTAACATCAGAGGCCATAATTTGACCCTCCCCGTAGAACTCAGAACCTCGCCTCTCAGCTAGTTCCTCCCGACATGGGAGAAAACAGTTCCGTGCTTTCTCATGCCAACAGCTCTGTGGCCTTGACAGGGTAGGTACCATTACTCCCCACGCTTCACAGATAGGGAATACGGGGCCCAGAGGGGCCAGTGGCTGGCCATTGTCCCTAGTTGTCTCTTTTTCTTAAGACATCAAACTGCTCCTTGTGGGTCCTAGGGGGGCTTCTCTAAGATCCTCTGAAAGACGATCTTGGGTCCGAGCTCTGTGGCCCCTGGGAGGCTTGGGAAGGGGGGGCCCCTGGGTTCAAATTCAGCTAAGGTTCCCACGGAGCTCCGAGGAGGTGTGGAGAGGTGAGTGAACCAGCTTGCACTGGGAGCAAGACCTTCTCCACCCCAGAGCTTGCCCTGGTCTTGGGCTCCGTTGGGTGGCAGTGGGCTCCAGGCCGGGCGATGGAGTCTAACTGAAGAAGTAACAAGCCCATGGTGAGGGCTGTGGGATGCCACCTGGGCTGTGCAGATGATGCCCTCAATGAAGACGCCTGGGCTGGGTGGACAGAGCTGTACCCCACCCCCCCAAACCCGGGCCTCGGTCAGGCTGAGTGTGTGCTGGGCCCGTTTCAGAAACCAGCCCTGAGCAGAGGGGCTCCTCCGAGGTCCACACCAAGAAGACAGTGATGATTAAGACCATTGAGACCCGAGACGGGGAGGTCAGTGTCTTGTGTCTTGCCCTTACACTTTGGGGTGAGGGTATGAGGTGTGTGTGGGGAGGCGGGGGGTGGGCCCAGGAGGCTCCAGAGCTAGACTGGGCTTCTCGCCCCCCCAGGTCGTCAGTGAGGCCACACAGCAGCAGCACGAGGTGCTGTAAACAGAGACCCTGCAGCCAGAGACCACCTCCGTCCTCCTCACCGCTTCCGGAAACCAGCCTCCTCCCTCCTCAGTGCCACCCCCCAGCCACGGCCCTCCCCTCACAGCCTCTGATGCCTCCTCACCCACCCTCACAGTCCCCACAGGGCACCTGGCCTGCCCCTGTCCCGCCACAGGGCGTACCCCCACCCCTCTGCTAACTCCAGCCGTGGGAGTCCTGGACGCTGGACTGGCCACCCTCGCTGCCTGCCTGCCCTTCAGCATGGTGGCCCTGCTCCACTTTGTGTCCTGGGCTGGGTGGAGAAGGAGCTGGAGCCAGAAGGGTGACTGCCTCCAGCCTCCCTACCTCTGAGACCTCAGGCTCTGGCCTCTGGCATGGGAGAGGGCACCCTGAGCTGGGGGTGGGGCAGCACAGGGGCAGGGTTGAGCCTTGCAGACCTTCATGGGAGAGGGGCTGCCACTGCAGGAAGCTGGCCGCCTGTGGAGACGGTCCCCAGGGCCCCTTTCCCTTCCCCCTCCCTACCCTTCTCAGGGTGGGGCTTAGAAAGGGTGAGGCAAGACGAGGGAACCCCCGAAGGTGCTGGATGTGGGAGCATGAGGTGCAGAAGGAAGGAGGGCGGTGGGATGCTGGAGAGGAAAGGAGGGGCGGAGAGCGGTCTCTGGCAGGGGGAGGGTGCCTGCAGCCCGCACCTGCACCTCCCCCCTGCCAGGCTCTGGTCAGAAACAATAAACAGAAGCACAAGCCTAGCATGTCCCCCGCTGTTGTGACTGCCCACCTCCTGGGCCCCAAGAGCCACCCTGACAATGGACTGTGTGCTTCCCTCCTGCCCAGCCAGGCTGTCCCCAAGGTCTCTCATACCTTCACGTCCCCCAAGTCCTCAGCCTTACTGTGTGTATATAGCAACCGAGGGGGTTGGGACTTTTGCTGGGAAATCACAGACACCTCCTGCTAGGCCCCCATTTCTGGGCTGCTCCCCTTGTGCCCCCTCCCATCAGCAGAGCCCAGGGACATTGCCTGATCCCCACAGACTGCCTCAGCAGCAGGGCTCCCCCACTCCCTTCCCAAAGAAGCGTCCAGCCTCCATCCATCAAACCTGCCTGGTGCTCCATCTCTGCCCAAAAGCCAGTTCTGGAGAAAATAACGTTGGGGAAAATGGAAAGACGTCGGTCTTTCCTGCATCAATCTATCTCCTCTCAAAGCAATGTCGTCTCCGTTAAAAACCCAATGGGAGACGTGTGTGTGTGTGTGTGTGTGTGTGTGTGTGTGTGTGTGTGTGAGAAAACCCAATCCTGGGCCCCAAGGGAGGGTGGTGTCAGACATGAGAGAGGGAAAAAACCAGGGACGTTGTGGACCAGAACCTGCAGCGATCCTGGAAGACTGGGAAGAGTCGGGCAAAATTGTTGACCAAAAGGGAAATAAACCCAACTACAGCTGGGCCTCTAGTGCGTATTAAAGGGGCGTTTCACATTTGAGGGGAAAGGAGAAGGTGAAGATTGGGTCCCTACACTCGTTCCAAAAGATCAACTCCAGAGACCAAAGATGTCGGGAGCTTACTGGAGCCATGACAGCTCAGCTTCCACACGTCTCCCTCAGGGGCTGAAGGGGGCGCTCCTGGAGGACATAGGGAGAGGGCAGGCCTGGCACAGTCGCTACACTCGGAGTGTCTGTAGGTGGGATGAATCTCTTGAGGCTTTCGTCTTAAGGCCCCTGCTCTGACTTTTCCAGACGCTTCCCAAAGCCCTCAGCTCCTTTTCTCTGGTGTCTCAGGCTCTCTCCCCTTCCTTGTATGGGGTCTGGGGTCTGGAGCTGCCCTCCCTCTCTACCTTCCTTCCTTCAAAGAAGCCTTCTTCTCGGGAATTCCTCACCTCTGCCCTGGAGGACCTGGAGGCTACATCCCAGGTCCCTGCCCTCTGTGGCCAACCCTGCAGGACCCTGTCACCCTGTAGAGAGACCGCAAAGGCTCCCCAGGAAAAATGTGACGGGAAGTAGCATTTCCAGTGTCTTCGAGCTGGGCGAGGGCTTCTATCACCTCTGATCTTTGATCCTGCCCGTTGGGGTCCGTGGGGTCTGAATTAGCATCTTTATTCAGGAGACACCTGGGTGGACTACAGTCAGGTAGGTGTGCCTGAGTCATTTCTGGAGGCCCTAGCTCTACCTTCCCCCAGTGGGTGGAATGCACACATCTCCTGACATCAAGTCAATTCCACTCACAGCAACCCTATAGGAGAGGGTAGAACTGCCCCTGGGGGTTTCCAGGACTAACCGTTTATAGGAGTAGAAAGCCTCATCTTTCTCCCGAAGAGCAGCGGGTGGTTTTGAACTGCTGACCTTGCTATTGGCAGCCGAACTCATAACCACTCTGCCACCAGGTGTCTTTTGATCACCTCCACAAAGGATAGAAGGACACAGAGGTCAAGGAAGGCTTTTTTTTTTCCCAGGGGGGGGCAGCCCCATCCTCCAAAAAAAGCTTAGGTACGGAAGGGTCACTAAGCAAGGAGGCCTGGGGACACAGTGGTGTGGCTGCGAGCTACAAGGTTGAACCCACCCGCTGCTGCTCCAGAGAAAGCTGTGGCTGTCTGTGCTGCACAGATTACAGCCTTGGGAAGCCTGGGGGTGGTTCTCTTGCATCCTGCAGGGTCATGTTGAGTCAGAATGGACTAGAACAAGCGTTGGCAAACTGCGGCTTTTTTGGTACATACATGTGGCTCTGGAGTAAAATAGAAAGAAAAAAAAAGGAAAGGATATTATTCAGCTAATGGTGATTTCATTTGTTTGTTTAAAAAAGAATATCTGTATGCCTCCTGAATAATTTTTAAATTGTTGTGAGGGACAGGATTGGCTCTTCTGTCTCAAAAGTCTACCGGCCCCTGGGCTAGGCAGTCATGGAGTTTCAGTCACTGGCTGGGAGGGGTGGAGCATTTTTCTCAGTAGAGCCCTCCTGGCATTAGAAAATCTACTGCTAAAATTCTCCCAGGGTCTGTCTCCTTGGGAGCCGGGCTGAGGCCAGTAGTGTTGGGCAGGGCAGGTGGAGCTCCGCTGAGAATGGGCAAAACAAACACCACCACCACCACCCCCCAAAAAAAAAGAGACCATCAGCCCTCCCCCGTCCCATCCCCACCAAGAACAAGCTCCTCCTGCCCCCACAGGACACTCTGATGTCTTCTCTCCCTCAAGACAGAGCATCGGGAGAGAAGGCGGCTTGCAGAGTGCTGACCACTTCCCAGGCCCAGACCAGCTCTGAGCCCAACAGAGGGAGGACAGCTGGGAAGCTGAGGACTCAAGGTCACTTTCTGAGTCTGTTGGCCCACTCTGCCACCCTTCCACCCCCTGCCCCTTGAGGCACTTCTCCCTTTGTGCCTCCCTTTCTATTTCCTCACCACGAGCTTGCCCAGGACACGCAGACAGCTGCAGTCATGACCACTGACTGATGGGGCACCTAGCCTGCCAGCTACCCCGAGGGAGGGAGGTTGGTCTGTTCTGGTCACCACTCTGCCACAGGAAGGGCCTGGTTTGAGGTCTGGCATGTAATAAAGCAGAGCAGAAGGGATAAAACCCAAACCCTTGGTTCTCTAATTGATTCTGACTCACGGTGGCCCATGAAGTACAGCCTAGAACTATGCTCCCCAGAGCTTTCCACAGCTGTAAGCTTCAGGACGTCAATCTCCAGGCCTTTATTGCACGCTGCCACGAGGTGGATTCGAACCGACAACCGTTTGGTTAGCAGTCGGGACCAAAGCGCATGTGCTACCCAGGGATTTTGGCATGTAACAGGCGCCCCCTAAAGAATTAAATATTTATTCAGTGAAAACCCACCAGGCTTCTTGGACTTACCTTTCTCTAAATGTATTATTCTCGAGGGAGGGCGGAGGGCTGCCACTTCATTCATCTCTTCAGCAAACGTTTACTGGGTCTTCACCGTGGGCCCTCAGTTCTTAGCCTGTGGCCCCTCAGAATGGCTTGGAGGGCACTCCCCATGGCCCAGAGAGGTGGAGTGACCTGCCAAGGTCACACAGCTTGCCTACGACACAGGAGGACTCAGCCCCAGGAGCCCAGATCTCTTTCCATGACACCACAGGCTTGTGATCGCAGAGCAGGCAGGCTGGCAGCGAGCACACCCGGATGGGCGCCAGGCCGCAGGGCACTGTGGGGCATAGGCTGAGGGGCAGAGGGAGCCAGGGACAGGCCAGCCTCTCTGGCTTCTGACCGTCACCATGGTGCTGATTGCTCCAGAAGAGGGCGCCGGGGATGCATGGGCTTGTGCCCTGGCCCCAAGGCCTGCATCCCCCAGAGGCACCTTAGTGAATGCCCCAGTATGGACATCGGAGCAAGAGATGTTCCAGGCTCTGTGCCAGGTCCTTTTAAATTGTTAATATTCATTTTAATATTTAATACAATAATTTAATGCCGTCACGACAACGTAAGTTAGAACATGTAATTTCTCTGTTCAAGACCTTCTGCGGTGACTTCCCATTTCGCTGGGGATAAAGGCATCGTGGCCTACAAGACAGTATAGTAGTAGGTGGCCTGGACCCTGCTACTTGCTGGTCTTAGGCCCATCATCCTCCCTCCCGCCCCCGCCCTGGACTCCGCCCCGGACCCCCCCTCCCCCCCCTGTGACTTTCTAGTGGTTCTGGGAGTCTCTGGGGTATAGGCCCACTTCTTCCCAGATGCCTGCTCTGTTTGCTTCCTGTTTCTTCAGGCTGACTCAGATGCTCCCAGGAGAGTAGGCTCTGGGCAAACAACTCACAGGCAGCCCTTCCCCCATCCCCCCCTAGCCCCTTCACCCTGCTACATTCTTATCATCTGCCAGCAGTCTTTACCTCTTTATCGTTCCCTTCTATGTGTCATCAGCAAGGAGGTAGGTCTGTCTTGCCGAGGACCCGGCACACAGTTGCATTAGGCACTCTCCCATCAGTTTAGAATCCTCGTGACCCTACGTTGTGGAGAAGGACCCACTGCCCAGTCCTGCACTATCCTCACAGGGTGCTTAGGGTTCAGCCCATTGTGGCAGCCGCTGGGTCCATCCATCTCCTTGAGAGTCTGCTTTTTCACGGACCCTCTAATCTACCAAGCATGATGTCCTTCTCCAGAAACTGGGTCCTCCTGGGAACCTGTCCAAAGTACCTGTGCCCAGTCTCCTCGATTTCACTTCTAGGGAGCAGTCTGGGTGCCTCTCTTCCAGCGAGGACTGGTTCCTTCCACAGTCTCGTTCATTTTCTTCACCAGCATCCTAAGTGACAAGCACCAATTCTTCTTCGCTCCTCCTTCTTCCCCGTCTGTACTGTCCCACTTTCCTATGCACAGGGGGTGACTGGAAATACCCCCCACCACCACCAGCCACCCCTTAGTCTTTCCAGTGACACCTTTGCTTCCTAACACGTTAAGGAGATATTTTGTAGCAGGGTTCCTAACACGTTAAGGAGATACTTTGTAGCAGGGGTGCTCAGTGCAATCTGTTGTTTGCTCTCTTGGCTGCTGCTCCCCGGCATTGACTGTGGATCCAGCAAGACAGGACCCTTGGCAGCTTTGAACTTTTCTCCATGTATCACGCTGTTAGCGACCGGTCAGGTTGCAGGGTTTTTGTTTACTTTCTGTTGAGGTGTGGTCCCCTCGAAAGCTGTAGTCTTGGATCTTCATCAGTAAGGGCTTCAAGGCACAAGGTAGGAGCTGGGAAATTGTGTGGTAAATGAATGAAGTCTAAGGTAGGCTATCACCCTTTGGTAGAGGAGGGAACAGAGGTTTAGAGATGTAAAGTGAGTTGTCCAAGATCACACAGTTCATGGATTCAAACAATCCATCCATTGGCCAACATTTATCAAATACCTAACTGCTTCCCCAGGCAACCGTCCCGTGTTCTCAGTGGCATCGGTCAGGAGCTTCTTCAAGAGCAGTGTTTGTATTTGCTCTTGACCTGGCGTCAGTTTGCAGGGACTTCTCCCGAATTTTCATACTTCTTACAATCCAGTTCATCACCAGCGGTTGACAGAGGTGGACAGGAGATGGACAGGCCAGTGGTAAAGGAAGCAACCACTATTCCGGGTGGTACAGGGGAAGCAGATTTCAGATTCTATGCATTTCTCCAAACCCAGAGAACTGGGCATCCCAGAGAGTCAACTTGAATCTGTACAAACTACAAAACAACTCAACCCACCCTTTAAAGCTCTGATCCCTATGGGCATAATTCAGTGTCTTCTACACACACACACACACACACACACACACACACCCCGCACTTTGACGTCTCTGAGACGGGGAGTGAAGGGCTCAGGAGGCAAGATTAAGAGTACCCGTCTCCATCTCTGAATGACTGACTCATGGTTTCTTCTTTGGCTCCTCTCCGCCGTCCCATGTCCTGGCCCTGGGCAGCCTCCCTCAGGGCTCAAGGTCAGATATGGGTTGTCCACCTGGCCTCCAAAATGGTAGATCTTGAAGTAGCTGTCCATTCACAGGCAGTGGTAAGAAATAACACAGAGAGAGCCTGTATCCCCTTCCCCCAACTCCCCCCATGGTAAGAAGCTTGTATGACCTATACCATGCCAATACCATAGCTGGGAGATTGACGGGGATACAGGCTCCACCTGGTCGATTTCAGCAGGCTTAATGCACTCACTACTACAACTGTGCTTTTACATTCAGGGCTCTGCAATTCTATCGGCATTCTGCAGATTCCACCCCAGTCAAGTTACGCGTCCGTTCCAGCCCAAAGATCTCACCTGCCAGGTGTATAGTCCCAGGTGTCATGTACTATCCTGCTGTTTCCAAAATTGTTGCCTCAGAGTCACAGCTGGGAAACTGCGCTTTTAACAGGTGCCATACATTGCGGACCCTCAGCCTCCACCTCTCCCATTTCCAGTCTGCCCTCCACACTGAGGCCACCAGGGAGGTCCTTCTGAAATGCAGCCATGACCAGGTGAATCCTCTGCTTAACCCCCACCCCCATGGTGGCACCCTCTGTCTTTAGGGTGGAGACAAGGCAAGCAAAGCCTGCTGGCTCAGGCCCCACCTCCCCTTCCATGACTCAGACACCTCATGGTGACCTGACCAGTGTCAGAGGAACTAGGCTTTGTAACATTTTCAATGGCTGTTTTCAGGGGTTTTTTTTTTGGTCTTTTTTAGTAGATCATCAGGCCTTGCTTGCTCGTCACCTAAGCCTTTCAATCAAGGACTCCAACAGACACATGGCAACCTCACTCATGTTCCACGGGGGTGACCTGGACTAGGAAGCCAGACACCAGGCCTTTCTTCCGAGGCATGGCTTCTACTGCCAACCTTTCCACTCCCCATGGCCAAGTGACACTGCTATCCCCAGGACACATCATGGTCTGCTTTTCTCTGTGCCACGCTGCCTGGAATGCCCCTTTAGCCCTCCAGCCAGCCCCCCATTTTCCACAGCTGAGTGGAGGCTGGGAGAGGTTAAGGGGTTAGCTAGCAAGAGCCAGTAAGATCGTGGCCAGCTGGAGCCCCGTTCCACCTGAACCCCGACTCCTGGTCTTACTGTTCACCAAGCTGCCTTCATGTCACCACAGCCAGGGGAGGCCCTCTGCCCCAGCCCTAGTTCCCCTCCACGTGGCCTCCTGGCCTTGCCTCCTCACCTGCCGCTCTGGCTCCCCTCCTGCCAAGCCCACCTTCCCAGGCCTCTCCCCTGTGCCTGGGGCTCTGAGAGGGGGTGTGGGCACAGAGAAGGAGGATGGGATTGGTCTCTGGGGTAACCCGACTCCCCAGGTGGGCGGCTGGGAAGCCGGCGTACTCAGGTGGGGGAGAGGCCTGTAACAAGTTCCCAGGGGCCCATTTCAGCCCGAGCGGGCAATGGGGGATCCCGGAGGGAGGGAAGGAGGGAGCAGAGCAGAGTCCAAGTCCCCTCCTCTGCTGCCCCCTCCCTCCACAGCTCATCGCAACCCGAGCCGGGGGGCCTAAAAATAGCCCCCGAGGCGCAACCGCCGGCTGCCCTGGTGACCTTCTGGGTGGCTGAGGCCGAAGGCGGGCGGGCAGGCGGGCGGCAGGAAGGCAGGACGCCGGCCCCCCAGGACTCATCTCTCTGGGCACCATCCCCCGCAGTACGGGTGGTTCCAGCGTCCCCTCAGCCCAGCTTGCAGAAGCCATGCAGAGAGCCCGCGGCACTAGAGGCGAGGACGCGGGCACGAGGGCACCCCCTAGCCCCGGGGTGCCCCCGAAGAGGGCCAAGGTGGGGGCTAGCGAAGGGGCCCCAGCGGTCGCGTCCGGAGCGCCGGTCTTCCTGCGGTCCCTGAGGGACACGGCGGTGCTGGCTGGCAGCGACCTGCAGCTGCGGGTGGCGGTGAGCGGGACACCCCAGCCCAGCCTCAGCTGGTTCCAGGACGGGCAGCTCCTGCCCCCGCCGGTCCCCGAGCCCAGCTGTCTGTGGCTGCGCAGCTGTGGGCCGCGGGCCGCCGGCGTGTACCGCTGCATGGCCCAGAACGCGAAGGGCGAGGCCTCCTGCCAGGCTGTGGTCACGGTGCTGGAGGTCAGAGGTAATGGCCAGGAGGAGGGGACACAGGTGGGAACACAACACGGGCGGGAGTGGGGGGCTGGGGGAGCGCGGGGTGGGGGGTGGGGAGTGGGGACAGCATCCTGTCTTATCCCAGGTGTCCTGACCCACAAGTGCAGACCAAGAGACAGTGCAGGCAAGCGGGGGTCAGGTGGATAGCTCCCCAATGGCCACCAAAGCCCTGCCCCATCGGGCCTTCCTGGGAAGTCCAAGGTGGACACCCCAAAGTTCCCCAACTTGGTCTTCTTCAGCTCCAGTAGTTTAAACCAGAGACTGCCGCTGGGTTCCCCTGGCCAGGCTGGGGGTGGGGGTAGGGGCCTGGGTCCAAGCCCCCATGAGACTATCACAGTCGGAAGAGGGTCCAGGAGGAGGAGCCAGCCTTGTCTGGAGCCTTGTGCTTGAGAAAAGGCAACCACACACGCCCAGGTGGGGCACCGGTACATGGTGGGCTGTGGAGGGGTCTGGAACAGGTGGTGGTGGTGGTGGTGGTGGGATAAGCGGAGGAGGGCCAGGGCTGGATGGGGTGGGTGTGGGAAGCCTATGGGCCATGTCTACCGGAGGCTCTCCTTGGGTGTTCGAGGGCGGGGGTGCAGAAGGAGGCACTGCCCTTGTGGGGGCAGAGGTGTAGGCTCATGCACAGGTGCAGTGATAGTCTCAGGCGAAAAAGAAAAGGCAGGAGCCTGGGCCTTGTAGAAATGGGTGACGGGCCAGGGCCGCTTCCCCTTGGATCTCTTTCTGAGGTTTCCTCTTTTATTCCCCCCCACTCCTCCCACCCCACACACACACCGCCTCTTTACATCAGCCAAATGGTCCTTTTCTAGACCAGAGAGAGAGCTTTGAGGAACAGAAGTCTGGGGCAGTAGCTCGATTCTCTAGTACACTGTAAGAGAAATTCGAAAAGTGGAGGGCTTTCACAAACAGCAGTGCATGCTCTCACGGGTTAGGAGGCTTGTTAGGTGGTGTCCAGGTGGTGTCAACCCATAGCAACCCTATTGTCTGACAGAATGAACTCACGCCCCGTCCTGTGCCATCCTCACCATTGTTTTGATGTGGGACCTCATGGCTGCAGCCACAAAGTCAATTCTCCTCCTTCTCCTCCTCCTTCTATCGCTTCCCCTCTACTTGACCAAGCATGATGCCCTTCTCTAGGGACTCCAAACCAAAGACACCGAACTCGCTGCCCTTGAGTCAGTCCCGACTCATAACAACCCTATTCACAGCCATCGAGTGGTGATTTGGTAGCATAGTGGGCTACAAATTGAGCTGCTAACTGCAAGGTCAGCGGCTCAAACCCACCAGTCCTTCTGTAGAAGGAAGATGAGGCTGTCTTCTCCAAAAATATTTAAAGTCTTTGAAAACCAAAGGGGCAGTTCTATTCTGTCCTATAGGGTTGCTCATAGTGACCCTATAGGATAGAGTAGAGCTGCCCCTTTGAGTTTCCGACACTATACATTTTTTTTTTCTTGCAGGAGCAGAAAGTCTTACCTGTCTCCCATGGTGCAGTTGGGGGATTTGAACTGTTGATGTATTGGCTAGCAGCTCAACACATAACCCACTCCACCACTAAGGCTTCTTTTCGCAAAGGACTGGTTCCTTCTGATTTAGGAGGCTGGAAGTCCACATTCAGGGTACCAGCTCTAGGGAAAGATCCTTGTGTCCTTTCAGCAACTGTGGGCCTGGCGTCCCTTGAAGATTTCCATGTGTCTTGTCATCAATCCTCCCCTGTGTCTGGGAGCATTTCATTTCAGGAGCCAGGGTCCAAAGCACCTGCTCTGCTCCTGGCTCTTCTTTCGTGGTGGTCGTCAGGTCCCTGCTTTCAGCTCACCTTTCTCTCCACTTCTCTTCTGTAAGAGAAAAGATGATGCAGGCAGGGGTCACCCCAGGGAAACTCTTCACACATCGCCACATCGGGTCAGAGCTGTAGCCTCAGTAAGGGTGCTGTTGCCGCCCACCCTAATCTCCTTACAACGGATTGGTTGATCACATCAAGTCACAGCATGGGGACTGATGACATCATCACAGAACCACCAGACCACTGAGAATCATGGCCCAGCCAGGCTGACACAGATCTAGGGGGATGCTGTTCAATCTATGGCAGGCTGTCAGCTGCAGTTGAAGGAGCCTGCTGGCACAGTGGCTGAGTGCTTGGTTTTGAATGGAGGAGGTCAGTGGGTTAACCCCCACCCCTAGCTACTCTGCAGAAGAAAGATATACCATCTGCTCCCATAAAGACATACAGCTCTTAAACCCCTGAGACACCTCTACCTTCCTTATATAGATCACTTTGAGCTGGAATTGACTCATTGACAATGGGTTTGACTAGTGGTTAAGTGACAGCTGGGGAGCTGCTGAAGATCTAAGGGGGCCATCAAATCTGTCCTGGACATTTTCAAGTCACCCAGAAGAGCCTCTCCAGATAGCTGTTGAGGTTGAACGGGACCCTTGAGGTGTAACTCCTGGAGCCTGGGCACAGAGGGGAACATCGTGGCAGCTGGAGGAGATGGGAGCCCTCACCCCCACCCCCACCCCCCCACCCCGGGTGCAGCGGCTGAGGAGATGGCAGATAGAGCAGGGGCTCAGGGCTTCCCCTGGTTGCCCTTCCTCTCTCCCCTGAGCCCACCTTGTCCACCTCCTAAAATCTTCAGTGAGACCTAGGACAGGGTGGACAGGGCAGGGCGAGATTGACTTCTCCAGGCTCCCCGGCCTGGGGGCAGGGCCTGGACGGAGTAGCTCTAGCAGAGCCCCGATCTAGGAAAGAAGTGGCCTGTGGGGGAATCTTAGCTAGGAACCTCTCAGGGAAAAGGCTGGCCATTTGAGTCCACTCAGAGACACTGGGTAAAAAGGTCAGGAGAACTTCTACCCTCCAAACCCACCATTGAAAAAGCGTATGGAACCGAAGTCCGTGTGAGCCCCCTTGGGGTTACCAGGAGTCTGCCTTGATGCCATAGCACCTGGTACTGGTAGCTCTGGGCCTGAGATGAAGGGCACTGGAAATAGAGTGTAAATCTAAAGACTCACAGACTCACTGCCATTGAGCTGATTCCGACTTAAAACAACACCGTAGGACAGGGTAGAACCGCCCCTGTGGGTTTCCGAGACTGGCCCTCTTTATGGGAGTAGAAAGCCTCGTCTTTCTACCGGAGATGAGAGGATAGAGTACATCTGCTGCACAAGATCTCTGTCAAGTGTTCGGACAGCAGGGTGTTACTTGGAGGACTAAGGTGCACCTGACCCAAACCATGGTGTTTCTAATCACTGCATAGGCAGAAGAAAGTTGGGCATTGTGTAAGGAAGGACGAAGGAAGAGTCAATACATTTGAATGATGGTGCTGGGGAAGACGTACCAGGGACTGCCAGGAGGACAAATAAATTGATCTTGGAAGTACAGCCAGAATGCTCCTTAGAAGCACAGATGGTGAGGCTTTGTCTTGAGTACTTTGGACCTGTTGTCAGGAGAGCGAGGTCCCTGGTGAAGGACATCATGCTTGGTAAAGTAGCAAGGCAGTGGAAAAGAGGCAGGCCCTCGACAAGATGGGTTGACACAGTGGCTGCCACCATAGGCTAAAACATAAGACCAATTCTGAGCATGGCGCAGGACCAGGCAGTGTTCTGTTCTGTTGTCTGGGGGGTCGTTGTGAGTCAGAACCAACTCACTGGGACCCCAGATGACAATAACCGCGACAACAACAGGACAGAGTAAAGCCGCCCCTGTGGGTTTCTGAGACAGTAACTTTTTATAGAAGTATAAGGCCTCATCTTTCTTCCATGGAGTGGCTGGTGGGTTCAAAATGCGAACCTTGGGGGTACCAGCCAGATTAATAACCACACCACCACCAATGGCTTCTAATCTAAGGACAAGACACGGCTAACTGATGAGAATTCGAATAGAGGGAAAGAGACTGGGGAAGGGAAGGGCTGAGAAGGAGGGTGGCGGCCGGCCGTGTTGTGTTTAAAGATGACAAGGGCTGCAGAGACAGCTGCTCGCAGTTCTGTACAGGGGAGGAAGCCGAGTCCCAGGAGAAGGAGGCCTGCTTATGACACGCAGCCAGTGATGGCTGACCCGAACTCAGAACCCGGTCCTCCCGCTGTGGACTCTGGTTGACTTGGGCTGCTGAAGAGGTTAGAGAGGAAAGTGGGGAGGGGAGCTGTCCAGTGTGGGGAGCAACCTGGGTCTGACCTTTCTGATCCTCCTGGGGAGAGGGGTTGGGGTAGGGCTCTAGCAGTACAGCTTCCTCAGCTCCTCCGTCACGTGGGGTCATGGTCAACAGAGCTCTGCCCTGGCTGGGCACCTTGGCCAAGGCCAGTGAGGACAGTTCCAGGCTGAGCTGCCCCGCTGGAACCATGGGCCTGTAGGGCTGGACTTGGGGTTGTGGTCCAGCAAGAAGCCTATGATTTGGACCACCTGTGATGAGTAGGGGGAAGCTCCGTGTGAGAATTTCGCCGCCAAGTGAACTCTGTATCCCAAGAACAGCCTTGTTATTATTAATTGATAACTCTTGATTGTAATTTTAAATAATAATACCAGTAGCTACTGTTCTGCAATGTGGCCGGCAATTTATGGCTACCGGCTATCATTTGATGTGTCATTCATGTCCCACTGTCACTCTGGTGACCCTGGGGCTCAGGGGGATTAAATGGCCTGCCTTGGTTGTACAAGGGTCCTTAGATGGCACAAACGTCAACTTTTAGCCCAAAGGCTGACAGTTCAAACCCACCTGGAGGTGCCTCGGAAGACAGGCCTGGAGATCTGCTTCTGAGAGGTCCCATCCTTGACAATCCTGTGCAGCCATTGTGCTCTGTGCACCTGGGGTCTCCATGAGTCCGAATCGACCCCCATGAGAACTCCCAGCAGTGCAGCAGGGTAGCGATAGAAGGTGGTGGAGTGGAGACGGGATGTTGGTCTATCTTGCCACCATACTTGGCCTGCTTCTCCACCACACCCCTCCCACGTGCTCTGGGAAAGGGAGGCTTCCTTTTGGTGAT